CTTGCATGGGGGCTGGGGGGGACCAGCCCTTGCTGCGGGCGGCCGCTGCCCTGGGCCAGGTCTGTCCCTCGTCATAAAGCCGCGGATAATGACAGCGTGCTCGTCTACAGCGCTTGTGGCTCTCGGGCAAGCTTTCCTCACGGCCGGGCTGCGGCTCCAGTGTTTGTCACCCCGCAGCGCAGAGGGTGATTCGGGTTTTGGCTTTCACTGCCCAGCCCTAACAGTGTGGGAATGTGTGGAAAAAAATGAATTCCTGTCGCCTTTGTCTCTCTTCCTGTTCCTCATCTTTCCCACCAGTAAAACCTGAGGCTTTCCTATCCCCGCATTCTAAATACATTTCACTTTCTTGCAGACATGGACATTCATTGGCATTAAAACTATTGACATCTCCTCAATGTCAGGATTTCTATTTTCCTGGGTTTGAAACATGGTTATTATTTAGCCTTCCTTGAAAGGAGCTCAGTTAGGGATCCTCACGCAGGAGGATTCATGGGAGCGGTGCTTGGGCGACAGCTGCCAGTCGTGGTGGAATCCATATTTCCAACAAAGCACCAAGTGAATAAGGGTTAGGACCGTGCTTTTTCTCAGCCTTATTTTGATTTTTAGGTAATGGTTGGGGTTGATAGGAATACAGGGAAATTAAAACTTACTTCATTCTTTCTTCTCTACCGATCCCTTGCTTGGAGGGGGGATTTTTCCACATGGCTGTGATTTATCTTTAAGAGCACAGTGTGCAGAAGAACGACTGGAAGCTGGCCACTCTGCGTAGCTTAAACAACGCTGTAATTGTGTGCTTCACGGCCGCCTGTGTCGGAGCGGGTGCAGTCAGCATTCCGTGACGTGCATGGATACCACCGGCATTGTTAACCTGTGGAAATAAACAAGCTTTTAACGCATGATTCCCATTAGAGTAATTAATGTGAAATCACGTGAACTGCAGAAACGAATAAGTAGAAGTCCAGGCTGAAATGATGTTCACAGCTGTTGGAATATGAGCAACCTAAATTTAGTACAGAAGTTACAATTTTTCCACAAATGTAAATGTGTTTGGTCTCAGCTGTAGCACTGAAAGGGTGAATAAAGTGCTGTGAATAAAGCTTCCTGCAGGCCTAAAACTTAAATGCTTACTGTGGCCCTTCACAGCATGGCAAATGAAAATTACTTTAATGGTAGATTTTCAAGATAAACGTACATGGAAGAGTGGCAGGGAGACTTAGAAGCTACCCACAGTGGCATTTCTCACGAAACGAGGGGTGTGGCAGAGGCTGAATTTGTTGTGAAAACCCAGAGGAGCCAGGAAAACCTGAATGTCAGGCAAGAGGTACGAGTGCCCCTGAAAGGGAGGGATGTTCTTCCGTAGGCATGAGAAACGAGATCAGCGTTTGGACAAGTTAGGGGTCGTAGGTACTTGAGGCGTTCTGCATCTTGTTGACTGTTTTGTTTTTTTTTTAAAAGCAAATGCTGAAGTCTCAGTTGTCAGATTCAGCTTCTGAGTTGCTCAAGGCAGCTTTTTGTCTTCTGCTGATGAGATTCTGTTCTGAAGATGCTAAGGAGCGGGAAGACTTCATCGGTAGTTGTATCCCCAATTCGCATACTGAGAACCTCTTGTTTCGGGGAATACTCTGCATGTGAAACACTTTGGGGGAGTGGGCAGTTGGATTCTGACTCCCCCAAGCTTTTCCTCGCACGCAGAGGTGCCCGTTGGGAGCCTGACCGATGCCTGAGCAGTGTGCTGGCCTGGCGTCAGCCACTCGCGAGCAGCAGAAGCACTCCCTGCAGCTTGGCGTTGAGGGCTGTTAGCAGGGCATGTGCCGAGAGGATTTGCTACCAGCTCTTTCAGCTGAAGAGCTGCTCTGCAGACTGGGGTATGGCGTGGGTGTTCTCGCCGCAGTGTGCAGGAGAGGCTCGAGGAGAGGCCCTGTGCAGGTCTGCGGTCGGCTGGGGAGGAGCGAGAGCGCATGAGGTTATCATGGAAGTGGAGGAGCCCTTTCTGCAAAACTGAGATTCGTGTTATGTTTTTTTAAAAATAAATACCATTGGTAAGCCTAGAAAGACCTTCCCTAACGAGAGACGTGTTTTCTGGGAGCGCTATGACGCATGAGGGTAATAATGTAACCTCTCATCGTTAATCCTGATTATAAAGAAATTTTCTTGCTTTTATTTAAAAGTACTTGAGTGTCTCAAAGTGGGCACTTCTGAGAACCTTCCTAAACCTTTTCCTATCTTGATACACAGAAGCATTTTACAAGTTGAAGTACACTTCTGACCTAGTTTTGTGTTCTTAGACTTTACTGTGAATACTTATTTCAGCTTTATGGAGAGCACGGCATCCTACGGCTTGGGTAATAAATGGTAAAATGTGAGCAGTTCCTCCTAGTCAACGTAGGAATTAAATAGTAAATTTGTAGTTGTATCCTGTTCGGTTGGAGTCTGGATGTGTGGGGTGACATGCGACACTAACCATGCTGGTTGGAGAGGCTGTTGCCTTATCTGCTTGTCTCCCAACAGTGTCTGAATCCTCCTGCAGCTGCTTCGAGCAAAATTGGGTCGTTTGTCACCAGCTGCGTGACAAACTGTAACTGCACTGACCTGGCCAGAAGCATTTGGGGAAGGAGTGGGAGAGCTGCTCTGCCCCTTCGCAAAATAAGAGGGGTGGGGACATGCAATTTCTGTTTGCAGAGTGAGTGTCTGTTCAGAGCCCACCTCGTTAGGAGCTTAATTAATGTCACATTGCGTGTCTGGGGTAGAGAGGCAGATAAAGCCAGAACTGAACAGGATTCAGGACAGTCGGAGCTAATGGTACAAGGTACCACTGACTGGACTTATCACTTGAATGTGCAGAAAGTGGCTTTGAGGAGTAGAGTAGAATTTACAGTGGTGGGTACTGTTAAACCGGGGAAGTGGTCCTTCCCCCACCCTAGTCGTTCCAGAGCTGCTCGCAAGGAAGAATGCATCCGGGCCTGGGAGCTGAATAAATACCTGCCTGCGTGCACTGCAGAGCCTGCGCGGTGACTCTCGCAGCTCTCCTCTGTCCCTTAAGCTCTGGAAACGGAGGGAAGAACTGGATGTGCGCTCCACCCTGGAGCGTATTACGCAGCTCAGCTCTCAAACGGTGAGGTGCTGCAGCTTTCAAGGAGGAAACATCTGTACTAAGATATCCTGTGTTAAGTACATCCCAATTCCCACAGCGTAACCGCACAATGAGACCTTGCCGTGGAGGGGAAAAAGAACCGGGCCGAAGAACACGCGCTTCCTACTTAAGCTCTTCCTACTTAAAAACCACAAAGAGAACGATTTTTCTTGCTGTTGCACAAACGTGGCATTCTCCTGTCCCACAGGTCGGATGGGGAAACAATGTCAGGGTCTCTCTCTTCCTGACTTCATTGAACCAGAAATACCCGGGGGTCTGCTTCCTGCAGGAACGGGAGGGCTAGGGACGCTTGCTTTCATTTGTGTCGGGAGCTTAAGATGTGGCGGTGACACCTCATGAGAGCTCGTTTCCTGCTGTGAATCCAAGTGCAATGCCCTGGAGACTAAAACAATCCCTTACAGGAGGAGTTCTACTTGCTTACCGCTGAGGTAATCCAATTGGATCGAGCCCGTGTTTTGGTGCCTGCGCCTGAAATTCAAGGCTTTGAAGGAGCTCTCTGCGCCAGCCTTGGGGCAGGACGCGGGGATGTCTGTCGCTTGAGCCGGCTGGACCGGGAGGCAGCAGTGCAAGTTCTGGTGCCAGTTTGCGGAGGTCACCAGCCCGGTAAAGCCCTGGGCAGGCTGGGACATGGCTCTCGTGCGGCTGTCCTTGGCAGGAGGCTCTTCAGGGTGGTGCCTGGGAATGTGCTTCGCGGCCTGAACAATCGGAGCTCTGCTCCTCCTTTTTACGAGGGTGAATTTGCTGCTCCAACGCCAGCCTGCTTCTCGAATCAGGATCTGCCTTTGAGTTTCTCTTGGGGCTGGCACTGGGTTCGTTCTGTGTTGTGCCTGATGATGTGTATTTTACAGAAACGGCACACTGGTCATGTTCTAAGATGTTTATCTGCAACTTTCTTCCAGGTGAACGAGTGCTTTGTTTTCATGGACCTCTCCTTTATGAAGCAAAGGTATGTGCGGTTGTTTGTTGCTGCAGGCGGTGCTGACCGTGCCCCAAAAAATGGGGAATTGTATTAGTTTACCTGCTGTGCCTCACTAGAGAGGATTAAGGACAGAAACGAAAAGGAAGGCAAACCTGATAATATATTAAATTAATGAGTTTTACATCCTGGTGCTCCACAGTAAAAAAGCTTCAGAAACCCAGTGGTTCAGTGCAGCTCTTCTGGCAAACTGCTCCAGGCCGGGTGGTCTTGGCGTTGGGCACGTGACATACCCACGTTCCCAGGACACGGGAGAGCGTTTGTGCCGTGGGACTGGGTGCTGGTGGTGCTGCGTGAGCTGTAGGTGAGCTGCAGTTTGAGCTGCCTCAGTGGTGCAGGTGGCAGAGTACAACCAGGGCTCTTCGAATGGGCCAGCACCGCAGAATCCAGGGCTGGATGGAGGCCACGAAGGGAGTGGCATTCTCGGTTCTGGCTGTTTAACCGCTGCAGCCGTGCGTTGCGAGTCTGTGACCGGAGGAGTATCCGCACCGCTTGGGCTGCCGGCCTCTGCTGCCGCGCTTCCAGGGATGGGCTTTGCCCGTGGGCCTTAAGCAGATGTCGCTGCCGTGCCGTCTGTTTTACCAAAGGTGTCGATCCTAACCTAACTGCCTGTTTCCACTTCCTCTGGAGCTGCAACAAAGGGCTTCTGTAGCTGTGTGAGTTGGAAGAGCTACACAAATTCCTGGGGCACGCTCACCGGATTTAAATCCGTTAGGTTTAGTGTCAGAAATGCTGACAGAGAGGTGGTAGCAGGGAGGCAGTGAGAAATACGTGACAGTTCTTTTCCTGCTATCAGGAAATAGCCGTTCCAAGGCTAAAATAACGTCCGGAGTGTTGACAGGGGACGTGCTCGTCTGAAACATTTTCCCTTCGGTGATTCTCCTCTGTTCTCTCCCTTGCTCTAGAGCTGGGGGACAAGTTCCTTGCGAATGCATGCTCCGTATTGTCTCGCTGGCCCCTACTCAGGGGCTGCTACAGAGAGGAATTGAGGCTTCTGGTTTTGTGGGAAGAGATGTGTCTGTGCAGCAGTCTTAGTTCTTTGGTCAAGTAAGGAGCGCGGAGCTGCCACAGCAGCGTGCTTCTCCGTGCTCCGTGTCTCTGGCTACGTTTCTCTGTTACGTAGATGTGGGAACTTGAGCTACCATTCACATCTGTTCTCAGTGGTACTGACTGAACTTTCTTCTCTGTTCCAGTGTGTAAAGGTTGCCATAAAGGACAAGCAAGTGAAATACTTCATCCATTACAGTGGTTGGAATAAAAAGTAAGTATTGCATAAAATGAAAGCAGTGTTTTGTTTTCAGCTCTGTCGGTTTGAATGTGAGCTAGATGGGCTAGCACTGCCACCTCCCTGTTGTGAGGGGATTGTTGCTGAAAGCCACCTCAAAGATCTTCAGGCGTAAGCCAATGATTTATAGTAACACAAAGAAAACATTGCCTAACCGCCCCTTTTCCTCAGTGCTTGGGTGGAATACACAGACTGGCTCAGGGTGTCAGCGGCCTGACGGGAGCGCTTTGTAGCGTTCTGTTTGTTCAGGCTTGAAAATAGCTCCTGTAATTCCTCCCTGGCAGAAATACTTAGTACAAAAACTTCCTTGTTATGTGTAGGTAGGAGAGGCAACCCCTACTGAGGTGGAGCAAAACTCTCTCCTCGGATACTCGGCGTCCGACGCTTTGATACCACGTTTGGCAGCGAGCGTTGGGAGAAGCAAGCCCTAGTGACGGCTGCGTTCAGAATGGGGGGGCTGGCTGCTGTAGTCCTTCACAGGAGCAGGCTCAGCCTCTGCTTCAGCTCCTGCCTCGCTTGCAGAGGGCAAGTTAGAGGAACTTTCTCCTGCAAAAATGTGGGATTCTAGGTGGGAGGTTCCTGAAGAATAAAGACATCTCCGTGAAATGAATGTTCAGCCTGTTAAAGGGGAATGCTGCCATGAGATTATTGCATTTGTCTACCTGTCCTTTTATTCTTTCATTTGAATCTGTTCTGTCGCTCGGCTTTGAATTTGGGAGAAGTGAAGGGTTTTTTAGTGATTAAAAGCTTTAGCTCTCCAGGCTCCACACGTCTCCCAGAGAGCACTGTTCCCCTTTCCTTTGGGTTTGTTTCATTTCAGAGCTGCTGACTCCAGTGAAGCCTCTTAGTCACCACTATCTTGATCTCCCTGGCGTGACTAAAAGCTGAACCTCGTGTTTTAACGCGTAACTGTGCTAATGCATCCGCGCGCCTCCCTGCCAAATCGACCACACGCGTTTTCAGTTGCGGGGACTGTGAGTGGCTCTTGCGTGGCTGCTGCATGTTGACGAGGCAGCGTAAATCCGATACTTCTTGTTTGTCGTGGAGGGGTGCCCTAAGTGATGCCGTGGCTCCTGCTTTTCTCGCTTGCGCTGCTTGAGTTTTTTGCCTTCAAGCTTCCCATTAACCACATTAAAAGTGGCGTTGCTGCAAGATCTCGTCAGCTGGGGCAATGCGACTCCTTCACTTTGGTTTCTATAATTACGCTCCGTTGTTACTCACTAATTGCTCCACTCCTTAATGGTTGGTTTTTTGCAAATATCAACAGTTAGGATCCCCAGAAAGTTTCTGCAACATACAGTACAACGTGCCGCACAGTTATATGGCGCTTTGGAAGGTCTCTTGCAGCTGTACAGGCAGGATTAAGATAAGTGGTTCAAATATCTGCCCAAAGCACTGTCCTAAAAGCATAGTCTTGGAATGTGTACAGCTGGACGTGCGTTCCTCTAACTTTTGGATGCTAAGCTTGCAGTGTCGTACCGCTCTTGAAGACCTTGGCCTCCTGTAGTAGCATTGGTTTTGCCACTTCGATATTCCAAGACTGGCAGCTATTGCTGTGAAGTGAAAATGACCCAGAGCTCTCTGCAGAAAGAGCTTTAACTTAGGTACTTTAGAATAACTCGGCCACTTTTAATGTGTTTTACTTGAAATAAATTGTCAGATTGCTCAGATTATCCACTCTTTGTCAAAGTGGAATTCTTGCTCGTAATGGCAATTTCCCCAACACCTGTTCTCTTAAATCGTTCACTTCAGATTCTTCAAATATTCATGCCATCTTGGTTTCCTTCACAGACAGAAATCAGAGCTCTTCTTCCTACAGTAAGATCTTATTGCTGAATTTGTTAACCTATGAAATGTTGGAATAGATTAAGGAAACTTGCTTCGTAATACAGTTATGGCCACAGGTGTCCCGTAACTTAGTAAGTGTAGAAAATACTTGTTTTGCTGAGATGATGCTTTTAATTTAAAGACAGTCCCCTCCCTCTGAAATTGCCCATCCTTTGAGTTTGGGAAGCTCTTTGGAAGTGACTGAGGGTTACACTTCCCTAGAACAATCATGACACCTTCAGTCAGTGGGGAAAGCGTGTGGTAATTTACACTTCAGCTGTGCCAGTCCAGGCCTGGACACAAAAGCAGAATTCGGTCTCAAATTCTGTGACGTTCTTTTAATTGACTGTTTTGTGTAAAATGCAGTTCTGTAAGGGTTTTGAATGATCGTCTGGTATCTTTGTTTTTTTCCAGCTGGGATGAATGGGTTCCAGAAAGCAGAGTGCTCAAATACGTGGATACCAATTTGCAGAAGCAAAAAGAACTTCAGAAGGCCAATCAGTAAGTAGGAGTCCTTGTTAGTAAATAACTTTTTTTACAGGGCTTCAATCCAAACACTGTACATAAGGAAAGTTAGTGAGTTTAAAAAATAAAAGCCTTCAGAGGTGTTTCCATGTTTGTTTATTCCTGAGAAGCTTCGGCTTAGAGGCATGCTGGTCTCTGTCCTCCAGCAGCTCAGGAAGAGCAAACTGCTAAACTGGGCTTGAAAACGGTGACTTGAGGTGTTAAGGAGAGGGGAGGCAGCCTGACTAACTGCAGCTACATCCTGAAGTCTGGAAATGGGCGGTTAAAAATGATCCGTGTGCAGTATCCGTAAAGTACATTGTAAGCAGCGAGGATCTCCTCGGGCAGCTTAGGATGCCCACGGATACTTCTATTTTCGTGAATGCTAGTCTTGTTTCTCTCGAATAGAACCGCTTTTACGGAGAAGTCGGTTTATGTTTTTGAGAAGCGGTGTGCTGCCTCCATGTGATTCGGAATAAGAAGGGTGGTGGAAGGGGGAGGAAGTGGGTGTCCATGCAGCTAAGTGTTGTATGAAAAAGCCTAAATCTTCTTGATAGGGAGTTGAGTTTTTTCCTGCTCGTGACACACAGTGATTCACAGAGCTGTTCACTAGACATTCTCCAAATGTTTTGTGTAACCTGGCCTCTTTTGAGCGAAAAGGAGCTTCCATTAAAGCCGTATTTCTGAATTTCATCTCTTTAAAGGGAACAGTATGCAGAGGGAAAGATGAGAGGTGCTGCGCCGGGCAAGAAGACTTCTGGTCTGCAGCAGAAAAATGTTGAAGTGTAAGAAGCTTTTTAGTTAAAATAAACCAAAAGAACCCACCCCCAAAACAACCTCCCAAACTTTTGCTTGTCAGTTTTGCTGTCCACCTGTAAGTATTCCTCGGGGCAGTTCTGCAGGCTCAACGACGCTGCCTTGGAGAGGAGCCGCAAAGTTGTGTTTCACCTTTGGAGTAGTTCATGAGAACCGCCGCCTTGCGCTGTGCCGTGTTCACCGAATCAGGGTACCGAGTCGCCGCTGGCACTCTGTACTTCCTTGTGCTCCGTTCCTCCCGAGTTGGTGAACTGACACTCAAAAGGTGGCGAGGCCTCTTAAGGCTCGTGTGTCCCGGTGGAACGGGTTTCTGCGTGGAGCTCTACGGCTCTCCCAAGCACTTCTGAACAAGTCCCTAACGCCTTGCTGTGCAGTTCCTGAAACTGCGATTGGGGAGCCTTTGTTTCGCTGTTTGGACAAAACTAAAAGCAGATGCTATTAAAAATGGTTTTCTATCTTAAGAGACCAGAAGCAAGCTCAGGCGCTTACTAGAGAAAGCAATTTCAGGGCGTAACTGTCAGATTTCTTTCATTCCATCCTGTTTGTTCTCTAGAACAGGCTTGTGTGGTGGGGTGTTTATTCTCCTGCAGTCGGTACAGCGCGGCTGCTTTGCTCGTGTGCCGTGAAGCTCTTCTGTTTGGAGTAGTACTGCACTTCGTTACGAAGATGGTCACTACCAATGTGATGTTTTGAACTCCTGACTTCATTTATGATTCTGGTCCTCATGAGGAAAGATGCTGAAATGACATCGGTTCCCGATATGTTTGGCAGCAGGCCCCGATTTCATGTCTCATTTAGGAGTGACTTCGTTGTGAAATCAGTGTGGTTGATCTGAGAAGTGCAGCGGTAGTAGGGTGTTTGGTTTCGCTCTAGATCCCGAGCGCAGGCTTCACTGTGGGATTGGCCAAAACCTAGCCAAGGCTGTAAGTTGGCTCTTGGTCTGCGCCGTGGGGAGCCCGATGGGCCTGGCGAGATGCTGCGCGCGTGCTCCCCTGCGGTCTGTTGCTGTAGGTTGAGGTGCTCTACCACCCTCGGTTTGGTGTTCTCCAGGCAGACCTCGGCCAGGGAGCTAGTCCCCTGTTTGTCTTTGTTTGGGGGTGGAAAAAAAACCCAAATCTCTGATTAGAGAGTGCTTAATGAATGCCATGAAAATCTGATTAAAGCAGATCTCAATTATGACCATTACTAATGCAGCTGCTTAAGGGGTTGTCACACCCGAGTCAGAGGGAGCAGCATTAATTTGATGTGTAACCCTGTCACAGGTAGTGATGACTCTATTCCAAATGTCCAGGATTTGCACTACAGAGAGCATACCAATAGTAACTTCAGGAGTAGGTTCCCCATACTCTCAGCTTTAGTCATCTTGGTCGTTCAGGCTGGTTGTAGTGGGGTGAGTTGAGCTCTCCGGCTGAGTAAATGCAAAATGTTAACTGCCTTAATCCTCTCAACCACACCTAATGTTGCATCCAAGGGAGACCCACACAGCAAGGATTGCTTCATCTTTAGCCTCTGTGTATCTCTCGAGCTCAAAAGCATGTTACCAGGTCTGTCTTTACTCTCTGGTAGAAACCAGCGGGGGAAAGGGAGTGGCTTTGCCTTTTGCTGTCGTCGCTCTCCCGAGATGGGTGGATGTTTCCAGCGCAGCAGACCGGGCAGTGAGCCGAGTCTCCGAAACCTGTGTTTCACGTTGATTAGAATTCCATGATGGTGGATTTTGAGTTATGAAGGGGAAGAAGGAAAACTCTTGTCATTAGAACAGCAGTCTTGGATTGTGAGTGTTATAAATAACAGGGTCCCATATGCTCGTTGCACTGATCTTGCTCCTAGTCTCTAGTTGGTACCAGCATCCAATGCATCCTTTAAATCAGACCTGTGCTTCTTTTCAACAAAGTCTCCCTATCTTTCTTCCCTATTTGAAGGCTGAGGGAGAGGCAATGCTCTCACTTACTCTAGCAGTGATGCAGGGTGGTGATACTGATGTATTATTGACCAAACTACTGCTGCTCACAGCTAAAGGCAAGATGGCTTCTGAAAAAAATCTCAAACTGCAGTTCCAAAATTGAACGTGTGGATTGTTCTCTGGTGTTAAATCATTGCAGTTACATGAAGTACTGATGGTGGGGAGGGGGCGAGACTGGTCATGCAACTACTCTGAAAGGGTAACACTGTCAACCTATTTGGGCCTCAAAATTTACCTTTTGTAGCATTCCTGGAGGATTGAACAGAGGGAAAGGTAACTTGTATTTCGATACTTAATCTTCAGCTAGCCAAACAATAATGGAAAGGAAATAACAATCTGAGCACAACTTCTCCTCCAGGAATGTTCAGTAAGACTGTAATATGCTGGTAAAAAGGTAAATTTTTGAATCTTAAATAGATTCTCTTTAAGGCTCAACACTAGGTCTGACATTCTTTCCTTAACTCAACCCCCATTGTGCCTAGATTTTTCAGACGAGATGGAGCGCATACTGTTTGCTGTTTGGAGACCCCTACAATATCGACGCGGTGAGTTAAGGATGGATTGTCAAACCAGGATTTTCATCCTGAAATCCAGACCTCCTTGCTTTCGTAGACTTCCTTTAGAGACCCTTAAAGTCCTCAGCTGTAAGAATGTAAGCTTGGTAGCAGTTCAGGTAACGATTGTAAGTACCGCAGCGTGTCGTTCTGGTTGCTCTTTGAAGGCCGGTGTGGACCACCAGCGTTTAGTTTCTCTGAAACGCCTGCCTTTCCGGCTGGGCTAGGGTGTGCTGTGAGCAGCCAAACGCATTCAGTGTGTCCCACGGTTAAAAGGAAGTGGAGGACAACTGACTCCAGATTTTTTTAGAAATGGGATAGTTCCCGAGGGCTACAGTTGCTCTGCATGCTCGCTGTAGCCTGGAATTCTGCTTCCGGGAAACCAGTAACAAACTGCACTGTCTCTTCCCTGAGCCTTGGACCAAGGCTACGATAGACGGCGTTAGAAATGTGACGAGTGAACTTGCTCCCTCGTGTGCTGTGTGTTTATTGCTGGCCTGAGACTGAGAATAACTGTTTCTGTAAACTGCAGCAACTGGGTCAAAAGGCTTTTGATACTATCTGTAAGCAATTTATTTGATCAAACAGAAATATGCATGAAATGCAGGTTTTATATACTTTGTTTTTAAAGCAATTACTCATCTTACGGCAACTATCAGCTGTCATAGAGCTACATCTTGTATGTTTAGCAGGTTGCCAAAAATGAAATACGACGCTACAGAGACTGGTTTCTCCAGAGTGGTGTATACGTACCTCTGCGGAATTCCAGCTTCTGAGGGTTGATGCTACCTTGATGGGCCCAATACGATTGATTGACTTGCAGAAAAATCAGTAAACACTCAGTTAAGGGGTGCTTGGAAAAGGAGAAGGGCAACTGCGAGTGTTCTGGAGGGAAGATGCGGTGCTGAATGACCAAACTGAGAGTGGCCTGGTTTTAAATGATACACATGCAAGCCGTCTCATCAGAGGGGCTCTCCCAAGCAGTATCTCAGCTCGGGAGTTACTGTGCTTTCCCTCTGATAGATGCCCTGTTCTAATCTGAACGTTACTCAGAGCACATGCTCTTGCTGCACGTCTCCCCTGGCACCCTCTGCTCTCTTTGGCACAGCTAATAGCGCTCTCACAAGCTACTTGGAGTCCCCTGAATGTCAGGCGGCATGTCGCGGCCTACGTGCCAGTTGTCTGGGTCTATAACGGCGCTGGAATGGCTACACCGGCTCAGCCGGAGATTTTCCGAACCTCCTCTGCTGCCCGATGGTAACATGTGCTTAGGTCAGGTCCAGAGGGCTGTTCTCCCCCAGACACACCCCGCTTGCTTCTTGCAGCCTGTAACGAAGGGACTTCGTGCGAGGGGTTTAATAACCCTTTGTAGGACTGTCTTAGTTTAGATCTAAACTTCTGAACCTTCTGGCATCCCCATCATCTTGTGTCAGCTTGTAGAAGAGGGGAGGGAAGAGGATGACTCCTCCTGTCTTTTTTTAGCATCTGCTGCTTTGGTTTTTTGGTCTTTCATCCATCTTGAGGAAAGATTGAGTTCTCCAAACTTCACCTTCTATTGCCAGTGATGCCTTCACCACACTTCCCCTCTTCTTCCTGCCCTGTTGGCACTTAAGGCCCCTCTCTGCCTGCTTACTCCTGGTACAGAAGCTGTTGTACACTACCAACTACCCTGTCCTCTTACCTCTCCTGGCTTTATTGTGTGCCTGCTGAGCTGAGGTTGCCGAACCAGGCGCAGGAGAGGTATGTGTTTAACCTGATGTCGGTTTTTATCCTTTTGCTGATGCTGTTGGATGGTTTAATGGTGAACTGCGTCTCGCAGCTAAGTTAGCGACCGAGCTGCTTGAGCAGTGGTGGCTGACTTTGTACTTGTGTCCAACAGACTGACTTTTCACACTCAAATCTCTTAATTTTTTAATTACTGGTCACCTTGTATTAGCAGAGACTTTGATTTCCTATAGCTTAGTTGTGACTGTTGCTTTGACAGTTAACTGCCACCTCATCTCCTTTCTCTGGCGCTTACAAACCACTGAACTCAAATGCCTGAGACGGTGTGGTGGCTGCCTTCGCTCTCTGCTCTCAGCCTTAACCAGCTATTGTCGGGAGGTTCCAACAGACCTCTCAGTCCCTTTAGAAGGCACGTGGATTTGGGAAAAGTGAAATACTTGTTACTGTCCACCACTCCTAACTGCTGTGGAGTAAGTCAGTCTTCAAACTCTTGTTTTTTCCCTGATGTCACTTGTCTGTGTGAACTCTGTTTTTTATTTTGTACTAGCAGTTCTCTAGCCACGTCCCAGGAGATGCTGCAGCCTAGCTCTGAGCGCTAACACCAGCCCCTCTGCAAAGGCTGCTGGCTGCTTGGGGTGGTAACTAGGGTTCCCTGCCACGCTTGATGATCCTCCCTCCGGTGAATGCCTGTGGAAAGGTCCAGTGCAGCCCTTCAGGAGGTCTGTCTTCTGTGGCGTCCTCTATAGCTCACCCTCTGGTCGTGGGCACAGTCCTGGCTTGGATGCTGAGATTGGAAGTTCAGTATTGAGCTCTTGTGGCACGGACTGTTTATTTTCCCTCGGTCTGTCCCCTTTGACACAGCAGTTCATTGTTGTGAGCTGTTCTGTAGCCTGTAATACTCTCTTCTACAGATTGTCTTGTTTCAGCATCATTTCAGATTGTTTTGTCGGTAGTTCACTTATTTTTAGCTGTCTCATTCAGTCTCACATTTTAATCCCTAACACTTCAACATTCTTCCCGTAGCTGCGTGTTCTGCTAAAGTAAATCCCTGTGACGGTTAGCTCCTTGCCAGAACTGACCTGCTTCGGGGAGCTAATGTTGACTACAGGGGGTGCAGCCTTCAGGTTTGAGCTGCAGGATCTGTAGCACCTTGCCTGTCTGTTCAGTCTTCTCATTCAAACTATCTCCACAGGGGATTTCTTGACGCTTCCATGCTGCTCTTCCGTCTCATTGCCAGGTCTCGGTGAAAAATGCCAGCTGACAGAACGGCGTGGATGAGGAACAGTAGCTGGGCTGCTCTCCCTGCGTAGGGAGGAGTTGGTGGAAGCTCTCACGCTGCTTCCGTCCGGCAGTGTCCTTGCGGGAGGGCGCTACCCGCCGTCCTGAGGAACGCGCGTGGTGTTCTTGGGCTCTGTGTCTCAATGAGTCTGCCTGGTCTGATTCTTGGAATCTGGTTTGGAGATGTGCTGCTCATCTCAGGCTACAACCGCTCTCCGTGTCTGTAACCTCTGCGGTACGGGTGCTGCATCTTCCTCTGGAATCTGGAGCTCTCCGCGCGCTTCGGCCCACGCACAGCAGCACGGTGCGTGGCACAGCTGCCTTCGCCAGGAGCGGTGCTACAGCCAGCCTGCTCCACCGGCTTCAAAAACCGGCCGAGTGCGGGTGTTCTGTCTCTAACCTTAGCTCTCTTTTCCCTAACTCGGATTTGTCTCTTAGACTTTGCAAGCAGGTGGCTGCTTTGGCTTGAAGCAGAGGCATATGACTGGGACTTCCTGATTCCTCGCATTTCAAGGAATGAGGTGGGAGAGCAGGAGCAAATGCCTGGGATGGCTTATGCTGGACGCTGCCTCAGTAACACAGATGTGGTTTTCTGTCTTCATTGCGGTGCTTGCAGTACTTCATATTGTCTGTCCCACTTCTAAAACTCTGCTGCTAGGCTAATGCTGAACACTTTCATCTTGTGATTGGAATTCTGGAAAGAACTCCCTGTTCCTCCTCCCTGTTTGCTCTGGGCTTAGAAGAAAAGACTTTCTCTTGAGTCCCTTATCAGTGACTTAACTTGCCAATTCTTCCTTCTTCCTGCAGAGGGCTGGTCTTTGTTCTGCCCACAGTTTAAGTCTAATGCTTATTTATGACTTGAAGCTTGAAAAAAGCCTTACTCTTCCTAGAAACTCTGCCGACTTCCTGGCCCAGATAAACCCTGGTCAGCCCAGCCTGAGTGCAAGAGTCGCTTGAGATAGTGGTGAATTTCCAGGGAAATAATCTTGTGCTGCTACAGTCTTATCTACACACATTTTTGAGAGGTTTAACTGGACTCCTATTAATAGTGAGCAAACTGAACCATGACTGGTAGTACTCCTAATTAAAATCTTCTGAAAACAGTTAGCAAATATACAAAGTTCAGGTAATAACAAAAATACCCGCTAGGCCAGTTTAATTTTGTTGTTGATACTCTCCACCTCTCTGAGTATTTGCATGTCATGTGCATTGTTTCAGGTGTCTCAAATTTTTGGAACTACAGCAATACATTTGAGATAAAAATAAAGGCTGAGGATAGAGGTTTTAGGGAAGTGTGTAAATTGGAAACAGTGAGAGAAGCATTTGGAGGAAGATAACTGCTGGGGACAAGGCTACTTAGTACTGCTCCAAATGTTTCCAGTAAGTGGCAAGTGTAATAGCCATCTCCCCTAGAAGCTGGTGATGGAGTTGTAGGCCATCCGTGCATCTAATGCTGATGGTGCTACTAAAGCTGTAGGGGTAAATCCGTGGGGTCTGTCAACACTGGGCTGGAAGTTAATTCACTTGACTGAGATTTAGCCGATCACTCCCAGCACTTCTGCCTCCTTGTCCCGTATTCTCTCTGAAGTGATTCCTGAAATGCAGAAATAAAACACCTACAAATCCGCTTTTCCAGGAGCACTCGGGAAGTACAAAACGTCTGTAGATGTTACTTGGGTCAGTCAGTTCAGGTTCTAAACACGTGTTCTGGGTGTGCCTTCTAGGGTGTTGTAGGTCAAAGGTAGTGATTTCCCCCCAGAATGGTGAGTTATAACCTGCTAAATGAAAAATCACAGTCATGGCACTGCGGTGCTAAACCACCCCTGACGCCTCTCACGTGCTCGTCGGCTGCTGAGCGCTCGCTCGTCGTTCGGAACGGTGTGGGCAGCTTTTCTGGCTTTCTACTTGCAATTGGTGAAGTACAGCTCTATATTTGCAATAATTTGTGTTCTTCTTGCAGGAAAACAAAAAAGAACAAACAGAAAAGTAAGTACACCTTTATTTTGTACGTAAGTGGATATCCTTAGGGAAGGACTCTTAGCTGGAATAACAGCTTAAATCTGCCTCTACTGAGCTTACTTCCCATCACCCTGCGTGGTTCCTCCTGGACTTCAGGCGTCTCTTCCTCTGGATCGGGAGGAAGGGGCCCTTCCCTGGTGTTTCCATCGGTCGAGGTTCTGACCTCTTGCAAAGGAAAAGCCGAGGGCTCGCCCCAAGGAGCTGTTGAAGTGCTGTAACAACTTGGGCTCCCGGTGAGGTGGAGGTGTGACGCATCTGCGCAACTGAGGCGCTGGTTCCAAAAACTCTTCCGGAGAATGTTAGAGTGACATCTTGGTTGGGTTTTCATGCAGAAACCGCCACCTTCAGAGAGGTGTAAATGTAGCAGTTTAACTGCCACAAGCATGTGGAACTTCCAGAACACAAGCAGTAATTAAAACCAAGCCAAAAAACAGTGAAAAGGTGACCTGAGCGAAATCTGAGTCTTCCTTTTGAATCCTAAGTCTCTTGTTTACTGGTATTTCTTAGCAGCACAGTGTCTTGTTTTTCTCTGTGCAGCTCCAGGAATTGGAGAAGGGAGCAGCACCAGTGAGACTCCTCAGCCTCCCAGGAAGAAGAGGGCTCGAGTAGATCCAACGGTTGAGAGTGTATGTATTTGATTCCCTCGCAGGGTTGTTGATGGAAAGGGGAGGGTTGCTTTGCTCAGCACAGCAACGCTTTGTCCTGCAGTACGGCCGTGTGAAGCATTGCGGCTTGCAACACCGAGGTTCCCAAGTGGCCTCGAAGAAACAAGGCATTTCCTTGTTCCCTGTGGAGCCTACAGGAATTACTGTACCAATCCCTCCGTTGGGTGGTGTATTTGCACTTGGGGTACTGGTGGATGAAAAGCTGAACATGAGCCGGCCGTGTATGCTGGCAGCCCAGAAAGCCAACCGTATCCTGGGCTGGATCCAGAGAAGTGTGGCCAGCAGGTCGAGGGAGGGGATTCTCCACCTCTGCTCTGGTGAGACCCCACCTGGAGTGCTGCGTCCAGCTGTGGAGCCCCCAATATCAGAAGGATATAGACTGGTCGGAGCGAGTCCAGAGGAGGCCACAAAGATGCTCAGAGGGCTGGAGCCCCTCTGCTATGGGGACAGGCTGAGGGAGTTGGGCTTGTTCAGCCCGGAGAAGAGAAGGCTCCGGGGAGACCTTATAGCACCTTCCAGTACCGGAAGGGGCTACAAGGAAGCTGGGGGGGACTTTTTACAAGGGCAGGGAGTGACAGGACAAGGGGTAACGGGTTTAAATTGCAAGTGAGGAGGTTTAGATTGGATATCAGGAAGGAATTCTTCCTGCAGAGGGTGGGGAGAGGCACTGGGACAGGTTCCCAGAGAAGCTGGGGATGTCCCATCCCTGGAAGTATCCAAGGCCAGGCTGGATGAGGCTTGGAGCAACCTGGGCTATGGAAGGTGTCCTTGCCCATGGCAGGGGGGTTGGAACTAGATGATCTTTAAGGTCCCTTCCCACCCAAACCAGTCTGTGATTCTATGATTTCAGTTGTGCAAGCAAGGAATACGGGTGACTCTTAGCTGGGACAACTGTCTGAAGTAATTGGTCTGGCTTCACCCTTTCGTAGGAAGAAACATTTATGAACAGAGTTGAAGTCAAGGTGAAAATCCCCGAAGAGCTGAAGCCATGGCTGGTAGATGACTGGGACTTGATCACCAGGCAAAAGCAGGTAAGGACAGTGAGGTCACTAAAAGCAGAAGCTCCTATCTTCTTCCCGTGCGGTGTAGTGAAATCTTCTGTGGAGCCTGACAGCAGCCTGACGGCTGGCTTGACATTCCCATTCCAGTTGGATTTTAACCGAAGTCACCTGTGAGTAGGGCTGTGCCTCAGCAGTCGTGTGTGAATTTGTGCTGGCTTGGCCTGCCAGTAGGTTTTGAACCGTGCAGTTAGTGGGTAGAGAGTTGGTGGGCAGGAACATCATGTGATGCTTATTTTGCTGCTTCCTGCCTTGTTTACATGTCGCTCGCTGCCAAGTCCTGTGAGCACCTGACATTGTTCTGGAGCCCCAACAGCAGCTGTCACTTAGGGTAGTGATTCTTAACTTCTGCCAGGCTGGATCCACGTAAAGCTTCCTGACGCAGTAAATGGAACTGTGCGTTCTATTTTAAAGCATAAAACTTTGGTGAGATGTGTTACTGAATCGTGGCTTCTTTCTGGTGGGAAGCTGCTCACTCGCATCAGCAAGAACTCGAGCAGTTCATCACCAGGTTGCTGTTGGGCAGCACAAATGTTAATTGGAGATGTGGATGCAGTCGCTGTTACGGTTTCTTGGTATGAAAAACTCTCCGTTGGGTGTTCTTTGGTAACACTTGGCATCTTAACCTGTTTGTTTGATTCCAGAACCCACCCGCATGCTCTGGTTTAAACTTGGCGCGCAGGTACAGATGACTGCCTAAGTCAGGCCACGTGTATTTGTTCAGTTTTGTTTCTCTTGTAGCTCTTCTATCTTCCTGCCAAGAAGAATGTTGACTCCATTTTAGAGGATTATGCCAACTACAAAAAGTCACGAGGAAATACTGATAACAAGTAAGTGGTGCTCACTTCACACCCAAAACGCTTCCTCTGCGCCTGCTGTGGGACTTGTCTTTCACGGGACATTTGAGGTTGTTAAACCTGTCCCAGCCCTGTGTCCAGCTTCATATTCCAGGGCCGAGGTGATGGAGGACTTTAGAAGTCTCTGAGGAGGTAATTCAGGAACACAGTTTCTGCTCCCCCAGTTGCCCTAAGCCTCCTCCTGAGGGAAGCTGATAGAAGCCAAGGGAATGGCTCTCCACCCCAGGCTGTTGGCACGGGGTGAATAAATTTGGTGGCGCTGAGTGTCTGAGCTGAACAAGCTTGTTGGAGGAGCTGCCTGGCAGGTGAGCAGGTGGGGGACGGGGAGCTAGGTGATGACTTCGAAAGGAACCAGACGGGCAGAGCTAATTACCTCGAGGTGGCAGCTTTGCAGACTCTTCGGTGTGGTTACCCCAGCAGTCGGGCCCCGACAACAAACAAGACGTTTACCCGTGAGTGAGCGTCCTCTTAATGGGAGTGAAATGAGACGTGTCAGGTGATTTGCTTCCGGTCGAGGGGAAGCACGTTGTGGGTTTGTCGGGGTGTTCTAACACTCTTATGTGGCTGTCCTAATGTCGGGTCCGAGCTGCTCGCAGGGTGGAGCGAGGGTTATACTTCAGGTTTGCGGGGTCGCTGCCGATGCCTGTGTGTTTACAGCTGTGAAGTCGGTGGTCTGCGTGAGCACGGTGCTGAGAGCCCTGGTTAGAAAGGCTCAGTTGCCTGAAATACTGGGTGGCTGTCCCTCTCTTGGCAGGAGTCAGCTGGTTACTTAGTGCTGTACTCTTAAACTGACAGTTTTCAGCTTTGGTGGGAAACACGGGAGCTGGCAGGTGTCCTCAGAAGCACTCGCCGTTGCTCTGAAAGGACTGCCCTGGGGGTTAGTTGCTTTGAGTGGGTGACTAAAAGCAGGGCTTTCCTCGGTTTGCCTAAATTCTGAGTTCAGAACAGTCCGTTTGTAAAGGAGGTGTTGAAATGCATCGCTCCCTGCAGGGTCCGCTTTAAGGGCTCCAAAGTTCCTTGAAAAATCTGAAGGCTCGTAAAGGATCTTTACGATGTTGAAGGACTCACCAAGTCCCTCCCTGTGCCCATCCCATTGCTAGAACAAGGCTTGCACGTGTTCCCTCTTTCCCAGGGAGTATGCAGTCAACGAAGTTGTGGCTGGAATTAAAGAGTACTTCAATGTCATGCTGGGAACTCAGCTGCTGTACAAGTTTGAGAGACCCCAGTATGCTGAAATTCTAGCGGATCACCCAGATGCTCCAATGTCCCAAGTCTACGGGGCCCCACACCTGCTGAGGTTGTTCGGTGAGTATGACCTGGAGGCGGAAGAGCAGCCAAAGAATTCAAGTGCTTCCTGTTCCTCTCGAGTCTTGGTGGGCGTGAGCTGCAGGAATTTGACAAGCAGTATGAAACGTGGTTTCATTCTTTCCTTACTCCACGCACCTAAAATGTTCAGAGCTGCTCAGGGATTTGGAATGGAAATGGATTTTCAACTGTCTAGATGTTGTAGGTGAGCTTCTATACAGAGGAATAGGTTCCTGGGCTGCTTTATACGCCACATAAGGCTTAATGAGTGCAGAAGTGCAGTCTAAAAGTTGTTGTTTCTCACTAACAAGTGCTACTTCTTTTGAAACAGTACGGATTGGAGCTATGCTTGCTTACACTCCTCTTGATGAGAAGAGTCTGGCTTTGCTGTTAAACTATTTGCATGACTTCTTAAAGTAAGTACTTCTTCAGCCTTTCCGTGAGAAAGTGAGTTGCGCACGGGCTGTCGGAATGTGGCCGCGTTCCGTGGACAGCTGCTGCAGGACACGCGGTGTTACCCTGGGCTGGTGTGTGGCATCTCCAGGTTGTGGTGAAGCTTTCTCAGACCCCTCTGTACAGCAGCCTGCGAGGAGCTGTCGCTCCTCCCCAGTTACACCGGGGTGGTTGTGTTTAGACCTGTGCCCAGGTGTCAGTCTGCTTGTAAACCATCCGGGTTTGCCGCTTGTTTCAAAATAAACGCTTCAGCGTTTGCTTGTGGCTGCTAAAGAGAGCAGATGACAACTAGAGCAAACACTACACCACAGTTACTCACTGGTTGGGCAAATGTTAAAAACTCTGAGGACGTTAGTAAAAACTGCGAAGCCAGAATTAGGAACAGAAGTGGGAGCAAGAGCCACGCCAGAATTCTCTCATGTTCACAGACGCATCAGGAAGTTGTGGCCATTGGATTCTGGTTCCCCACCCCACAAACATCTGGGGGGGGTTCTGCTGCCTCCGTTTATCGGCAGCAGGCCGGAGCGTCGGTCGGATAATGCAACTCCTGTAACACAGGAGCTTCTCTCCAGGGGGTGCCTGGAATCAGGGAATCATGGAATGGTTTGGGTGGGAAGGGACCTCAAAGCCCCCCCAGTCCCAGCCCCTGCCATGGGCAGGGACACCTTCCATAGCCCAGGGTGCTCCAAGCCTCATCCAGCCTGGCCTTGGACACTCCCAGGGATGGGGCATCCACAGCTTCTCTGGGAACCTGTCCCAGTGCTCCCACCCTCTGCGGGAAGAATTCCTTCCTACTATCTAAATGTTTCCTTTATCCTTTACTCAGCTGACTCTTCAGTAGATCCATGTTGGTTTTCTACTCCTAAAATCATTTTTTATGGTCTCGGCAAACACCTGAAGTCACTCACGTGACGCTCAGCCGCGGATGCTTTAGGTAAGCAGGTAACTTTAATGTTTTTGTTGGTTTTCACAGGTATTTAGCAAAGAATTCCTCCGCGCTGTTCAGCGCCAGCGACTACGAAGTGGCTCCCCCGGAGTACCATCGGAAGGCGGTGTAGCACCGCGCTGCTCCGCAGTGACACGATTAGCTGGATCCTTGATACACTGTCCACTGCCACGTCTTGTTCTTCACCTCTTGCACACGTCCCTTGCACAAGTCGTGTAAACGTCAAGTGAGCCAAGTTGTGTGTGTGACACGGAGCTGGCCTTTGCGAGTTCTGCTTTCTTGTCCCGAAACGGAAACTTGGGGTTCAGCGGGATCTCTTTGGTGTGTCTGGCTTGCTGCTCTTGTTGCATCCATGGAATGTAAAATGGAATGCGTTGCGGTGTTTCCTTCTCCGAGCTCCTCCGTGCTCGCGGGCCTGTTCCCACAGTTGGCGTCACTAACCCGCTTTGTCGTGTGGTAGCGGCGCGTGGGCTCGGAGCGGCGGGGATGGCGATCGCCCCGTGTTGGTGCTGTTGGTCAGTCCGGCTGTCGAACCCCTTTTCCTTTTGTGGTGTTGGGAATACGCTGTTTGCTCCGTGGCTGTTTGCTGTTGGTAGGTAGTGAAGGACTGTGACTTTTTTTTATATCCTAACCATAGGGAAGCGTGTTGTCACATCGTAGTGTCTGGTCCCACAGAGCCGTTTTACAAGTCTTCAAATAAACTTTTTTAATCTCGGGTGCTGCTTCTGATCGGTGTTTGCCTCTGTCACTCCCTGAGCTCCCGGGGCGGTGAGGTGCTGCAGAGAACTAGCTTGGCGCTGCTGGGCTTCCCCTTAAGGACCAGTTAAGGCCCAGGGGGGTGAGGGGATTCTGCTGCTCTAGGATGGTTCCATAGCCCGTGTGTAGCGATCGTGCGGCCTCACCTCACTGCCTATGGAATTCCTACAACGCTGTAGGAAGAGCCGGAGCGCCGCAGCGCCCATCGCCTGGCTCCTGTCTGTCACCTCCCTCTTCTAACTGGGTTCTACAGGCACAGCAGCATCTTAACGGGTGAAGGGGCCTGTGAGCTGCCCCCTCACTCAGGTCACTGTTTCTAGTGGCTTCCAGGCAGGTGTTGGCACTCCCTGTGCCCCTTCCTGTCTCGATCCCGCAGCAGAGCTGTGGTAGGGAGGCGGACGAGCGCTGCTGGGCAGGAGGGAGCTCGCGCACCCTCTCTGCGAAGGCCGCGGTTCGCTCTGAGCCCCGACAGCGGCTGAGGGGGGCTGTCCCGTGCGGGCGGTGGTGGGGGTCTGTCCTGTGCGGCTGCCGCCGCTTTTCCTACAACTGGATGGTTGTCAAGGTCCCTTCCAACACAAATCGCTGAATCCACGATTCCATGGCTTGGCTACAGGCTGTGTAGCTGCTCCTAGGCAGAGCACCCGGCTTGAACCGGAGGCGTTACCGCGCAGCACCGGGGTCTGCGGAGGGTGCTGGTGGGATGATCCATGCCCCACCTGCTTCCCCAGAGGGGTGCACCCTCCTGGGATGGGAGGGCCCTGGCAGGCGTAAACCGGCCCAAACTCCCCGTGGGCGTCTCCTGAGGTGGGTCCCTGGATTGGGATCCAGTTCAGTGTGTTTCTGTCTGTCCCTCTGTTCCGAAGCGCACACTGGGATTCTGGTTGGTCTGGGGCGGTGCTGGGTGAGGGATGGTTTTTCCGGAGCACAAACCATCGTGAGCTGTGGAGAGGAGCTGCAGGGATCTCCTAAACGGCAAAGAGCAATATCGAGCAACGATGTGAGTGGAAGTTGCCATGGAAACTGGAGAAGATGCCTGCCCTGCTCCTGCTCCGCTTGCTGCCCTGCTTGCAATCCCTGTGACCTCCTGCTGTTTAATGAACAGCTTTGAGGCCAATGAGCTACTGCTCGGGACGTGCTACCCCGGCCCTAGAGCCAGGATCGTGCTCAGGGTCTGAGCGATGGGTTTATCCTTGGCCAAACGTCCCCGAGAGCGAGAACCGCCTCGTGCTGCCTGCGCGCTCCTGGCACAGCGTTTGTACCTGAGACCCGTGCGGGTCTTCTGGTGATCCCTTGGTGCTTCCCTGGGCAGCTCCCTGGTAGCTCGCTGGAATTCCAAGCACAGGACGGACCACTGTGAGGGTGGGAGAGGGAGTCGGGGGCAGCACCAGCCCGCAGGCCCCTTGGGCAAGGCCTGGACCCCAGGGAGGGTCGCAGATGTTTCCCTCTTGTACGGAGGGAGCCTCGTGTGCTTCCCCCTCCACTGCTGCTGGGCTGGATCCATGGGAATTATCCCTCCTTCCCCGGCGTGTTCGCCTGCGGCGCACTGGGTTACCGTGCAGGGCAGCGGGCAGTTTTGGGAGCACTGCAGCCCTGGCCCAGGGCCTTTCGGGTAGGGGCTGTTTTGGCCGCAGGAGCGGAAGGTTACGGGGCTCTGCTGCTGGGTGCTCAGGAAGGTTACGGGGGTCTGCTCCTGGGTGCTCAGGAGTGGAAGGTTATGGGGCTCTGTTCCTGGGTGCTCAGCATCCCCAGGGAGGGGACGCGCCAGGTGCTGCCGCCTGGGAAGGGTGGACCTGGCCTGAGGCGTGAATCCTCTGCCTCCCAGCAGCAATTTCACACTGAGCTTGGGGTTAAAGCGCCGCTGAAGCGTGTTACAGCCCCTGCCTGTACCCGCTCAAAGCACCCTCTGCCCCAAATGCTGTGGGGCACAGCGACCTCGCAGCTCCGAGGCCAGGCACCGGTGGGGACTCGTCTCCCTCCTTAGCTGAGGCTCTTGAGCTTGATACGGGATAGAGGGAGGGAGTGGAGCTGCACCAGTGTCCGTCTGTCTCATGTACCTGGAGAGGTGGATGGTGAACTGGGAGCCCTTGGCTCATGCAGACCCCGGGGAGAGGCTGTGTGTGCTCACGGGGCCGGAGCTTCGTGTGCCTTGGGCAGGGCTGTGCCGCTGGAGGAGCTGAGCCGTGTCTGGAGAGAGGGAAAGGTGTTCGGGTGCCGAGTGCTGGAGCCACGCCGGATGGCCTGGAAGGGGCGGGGGGGGCTTTTGCAAGTGGGGCACCACAAGTCTGGTTCTGAGCCCCTGCCTCCCTCACGGCACATGCCGGGGGTGACCGAGACTGGAGGAGCTTAATGGGCCAAGTTTCTCCTGCAGAAAATGCTTTTACACATCGGAAATCCTACGGAGGAGGTTGTCGATGCGCAGTGGTTATGG